CTCTCTCTCTCTCTCTCTCCGTGTCCGTGGGTGCTACGGGAGTCTGGGAGGTGGGGCTTAGCGGTTCAGGTTGTGGTCTAGGACCTAGGATTTCCTGGCAGAGGCCGCGCATGGGGCTTTGATGGCTTGTCTCAGGATGATAACTTGTACATGCCCGCTCGCTTCTTCAACGAGAGCTTGATCTACTGTGACCTGGGAGTTCGTTCAACAGGTTGACTGTCGGACAGCTGTTCGGCCTTCTGCAGAGAGTTGCGAGTATGCTACAACCTAAGTCGCGGGAGGTCGTAGTCAAGCAGCAGGCCCCACTATGCCGCAGGTACAACGCCCGCCTACCATCCGGCAGGCAGTGGGCAGCATCGAAAGCTTGTCGTCAGACAACCGCCTGGGGTCATTATCTCATAGACTTTAGCCCAAAGTCCCCCCCGATGCCCCTCTATAGGGTCCCCCTGCTGACTGCTCACAGGAGTTTCGAAGCTCAAGGTGGCAAGTTGGTTGCACGAGCCCGGAGCTCGGCCCTTGAGCACGCTGTGCTCGTCAGGCTCAAGGCAGCCCCCCATCCTAATAATATAGCATAATAACATAGTATAGTAAGATAGTACTAGTAGTATTATCAGAAGAGTTTTGAAGTCAACCCGAATTGAACCCCAACCTCCAAGCTCAGGCGCCCAAAAATTAGCTGCAACCGAGGCTCTCGGTGACGTCCGTGGACTTCACTTTCTATCCCAAGCAAGCCACTGAGTTTGATGCGTGTGTCTTCTGACGGTGACACATCCGTTGCCGACCGTCGCCTTCACTACCTTCCGGCGGTGGGTTTCTGCGGATTTAGGATTCCGAACTAAGTTTCTAGACCCCCACATGGCATACCCGAAATCCTAAACCCTGGACCTTTATGGAAAGGCTTTCAGGCAGAAGGCCCGAGCCCTAAACGACGAACCTAGAGCCTGAATCCTCAGCCCTCTGCTGAGGTGGGCTTTCTCGCTGCAGCAGGACCTGCTGCTTCTGAGTTCCTGCCAGACCTTCCGCCACCATATCCACCCCAAGCTCCATACCCTGAGTCGAGTCCTAAGACATAGACTGTAGATGCCATCATTCTACCTTGGGGGAAACCTAATGGTCACTATCACAAATCAAGGGGGTTCTCCATATGGGGGTTTCCGAAAATAGGGGACCCTAATATAGTACCCAAAATAGTAGGATCCTTATTATATGGACCCCAAAATAAGGTACCCTAATTTTCGGAAAGTCCCATAGAACATTTTGAGGAAGCCACCTGCTTTTCCGGCGACCTCGGCGACAGTGTGGTGCTGTATGCTCGAGAGGCATGCGGGCTTAGGCTCTAGTTTAGGGGTTGAGTGGTTTATGATGCGCTTGCAATGTTTCAAGACATCTTCAAGCGGTAAACGCTTGTTAGTTAGTCATATCCCATATTAAAACCGGCCAGGCGGAGTTCCTTCAGTGGCAATACTCGGTCTACGAGGCGTTGTGCATGTTCACCGCTGCGCCTTGGAAGCATCGAAGCTCTGTTCCGAGCTCTTTGTGCCCACATGATGGACCTCTCTTGCACGTGGAGGTATTGGTGGTGCAGTACTGGTGATGGTAGAAGTAGATAGCGAGGTTTCCAAGAATAGCGTTCATAGGGGTGTGCTTGTCAAGCACACGCCTCGAACCTTAACCGTTGTTCCCGTCGTCCGTCGAGTCGACGTCGTAGAAGCGCCCGCGAGGTCGGTCCACCCATGGGAGTCTTCGACACCAAGGCACGAGAGCACAGGGACTAGCTCAGGGTTTGACGGGTTCCACAAGTTTAGGGCCAGGTTTGGGGCTTGGGGTTTCCAGAACTTTACACCCCAAACTGCTGAACAACTTTTAACTTTGACCTGAAGTCGAAACAGGCCACGATCTATGCTTGGAACGACACCATGAGGGTGGTTTGCCATGTGCCCAGTTCCGCTCTTGCGGGTGGAAACCTGTGCAGAGGAGGGGTCTCGGATGCCGGGCTCAGCCCCTGAACCTAGGACCAGAGACGCAAGACCGTAGGTATCGAGGTTGGATATGCTCGATGCCCAGGTCCTTGTCCGCCTCTGCCAAGACCGCGGAATGGGATAGGGGTGGGGCGCTTATGCTCCGCCTGCCCCATTTGCTGTAATGCCTGGGAGTCGTGGGCGTTGTTAAGGAATCGATGAACGTGTCGATCTCCTTGGATGGGAAAGCCACGGTCAGCGACGTGCTCGGCATGGCGCTTGGAAGCAGCACCGCCCGAACCGTCCGCTTGAGTCCCAAGATAGCACCATTGCTGTACAGGGGGCATAGGGTTTAGGGTTGTGTTTAGGGTTTAGGACTGATCTAGATAGTATCTAGATGATCCTGCCAAGGCCAGCCTGTACGCATCCTGCCAGCACCAACAATTGTTGACATGGCCTGTGCCTCAGCCCCGCAGCACCTGCAGCCGCAAGATTCCTGGAAAGTGAGGTGTTTTGAATCCGTTGCCAGAAACTCCACCCCTAAACCCAAGAGTTCCCACGTCTCTGCAGACCCCTACTTTGTGGACGACCGGAGAGTCCTTTGAGCTGAAGATCACCGGGATTGACTTCCCAACATCGGAGGAGGCGCTTCCAGCAATCTGCGGGCTCTCCACAACCACAGCTATTCGACCTATGTTAGACTATAGAACCCTGATAAAATCCCTCGGCCATTAACTTTACGGTTTCACAAACTGGGGCCCTGGAATCCAGAAGCCGTCAACTATGGGAGGTGGAGATGGCTTGCATCTTCTTCGACCACTCTGCTCAAGGTATGGGCTGCATGTCATCCTTCGCTCTCTGGGTGTCAAGTGGCTAAAAGCTTCAAGGCACTATGAACACTCAAGCCTAAATTTGTTTGCGGGATCGAAAAACCGGCCACTTCCGGTGCTTGCACGTTCTTTCGCTTGTCCTCGGAGCTGGGCCAACGCCGGATGCAAGTTGCGCAGCAGGTTTCATCTTCGAGGCCTTTGCTGTGCAACAGGAGCTGATGTGGCGGAATCTGGTGCAGGACTTCCAGCATGGCTTCTGGTGTTTGAACTTCTAGTTGGTTACACCATGAAATCCTAAGCCCTAAACCCTTCTCGAAGACAGAGGAAAAGGTCTTATAAAAGAAAAACCCTGAACGGTATCTAGTTTTGTTCTTGACGCGACTTCAGTCTCCCAGGTTTTTTTAGGATGTCCCGTGGCCAAGACTACCGAAGCTGAGGGGCACAGACTGCAATTTTTTGGGGTGGGGACTGAAATCCGGGAGAAATGGCAAGGGTTTCTGACTGACAAGCAATGGCAAAAGGATACCCTAACCACGACAAGCCAATTCCTAGACCCTCACAGCCTAAAGCCCTGAAGCCAAACTCCTCGACATCCGTCAGGACGCCTGCCTGGCCGTTCCAGAAGTGCAGTGGACACACCAGTGGCCGCGAGCTCGCTGGCAGACTGCGCTTTCAAGGTTGAGATGTTGCTCCCTGCTGAGGCAAGATATTCGAGAGCCCTTCTGCGCACATGCAGGCAATGGGATGGAAGCCTTTGCAGAGCAGCTGGGGACCTCTGATCTTGTGCTATGTTGGAGCAGAACAGCTGCTAGCATGACCCTCTGCTTTGGAAGGTGCTCCCATGAACTGGAGCGGAGCCTTAGCCATGAACTCCGCGGAATGGCTCTCGGACAGCGAAATTCGGTGCAATGTCCCAGCTCTGGCGATGACGATGAGGCTGCTCTTGTGTTGGAGGGTGTGGGCTTGCGAAGGTGTAGCATTGCAGAGGCTTTGCTTCCAGTGACATGCCATCTCGAAAACTGACTACCGTACTCCGACTAGTATTAGTGGTAGTTGTGGTAGTAGTAGTAGCAGCAGCAGCAGCAGCAACAGCAGCAGCAGCGGACTAGGACGACTACTACTACCACGACGACGACGACGACGACGACGACGACGGCTGCAGCAGCAGCTGCTGCTGCTGCTGCTGCTTCTACTACTACTACTACTACTACTACTCCTCCTACTCCTACTGCTCCTACCGCAACTGTTACTGCGGCTGCGGCTGCGGCTGCGGCTGCTACTCCTACTGCAACTTCTACTGCTGCTACCAGCACTACCTCTTATGGTTCATGGCATCTTCGGGCCAGGGGCAACATGACGACAGACCGTTCGCTGATGGTGTTCCTTGCGGCCAAGCACAGCACGGGCTTTCGGACGCAGGCTCGAGTCGACTGAAGGAGGGCTCTAGGGCTTCGGTTCAGGTAGTGTTTTGGGGGTTTTGGGCTTAGGATTTAGGAGGGTTTAGGTTGATGCTTTAGCCTTCGGGATATGGGAGCTTGGAGTCAGGGTTCAGGGTGGTGTGGGTTGGAGCGGAAACTTGCAGGTCAGCACTTTGCCGGACATCCACCTTCTGCCTCCGGTGCAGATTCTCCGTGTGGAGCCTGAGGCGAGACTTCAGTCAACACGTTGCTGGTCCGTTGGCTTTGGAGTCTGAACATATGCCCTATGCAAATTGTTCTAAGATGTCCTCAGCCTCCACCGTTGGTTATGTCTTTCTTTCTAACTGCCTTTCCCTCTCTCCCTCCCGTCCACCTCCTGTCTCCTGCTCCTCCACACCGCATTTCCGCATCTGACACGCCTCCGGGGTTGAGCTGAGCCCTAAACTTCTAAACCCCAAGCTGTCAGATCATGGCGGTGGTGGAGCGCAATGACACCAGCAGCGTGCCTTTGTTGTACCTGCGAGTCTTCGGTGAGTCGAAAACTCAGTGCCCAGAAGAGACGATTTCGTGCTCTGGTCTTTGCGTTTTGGCGGTGATGGTCAGTGGTTGTGTTCATGATCACCACCATCATCTTCATCCTACTGTGGCCCTAATCCCTGTCCCAGGGAGCATTTTCTGAAGCATGCCGCGCGAAGCCGGACGAAGCGGCCTGGCACCCAGGGGGTCTCACCGTAATGGTATTGGTATGTTGTGGCGGTGATGGTGATGGTGCTGCTGCTAGTGGTGCTCTTAGTGGTTGCAGTAGAAGCAGTAGTTACTGGTAGTTGGAGTATCGGCCAAACTTGGAACAAGTGGCATACTAATGAGACTGATAGGAATCTGTTTGGAACTGGCGAATACCCCGGTAGCTTCAAATCTCCAGGTAGCTGTGCTTTGTTGCTACTGCTTCCTTTGGAACTAGCATGATGAGGAGTATCACGAATCGTCCTTTCGTTCGTGTTTTCGGTATCAGTATCAGTCGTGGTTGTGAGATGCTACTGGATCCGCGAACAGAATCGGCCTTGGACCGAGGTGTCGTTTGCAGTGGCAATTCCCCGGTATGGAGGACCACCTCTCCAACATCAGCTTTTGGGTTTGCGGTTCAAGATTTTCAAGCTTTGGGTTTGGGGCTGATGGTGCTAGCGCTTGCTATGCAGGAGCGGCTTCTGACAGCACTTGTGGTGAATGAGACAGAGGCAGGAGCAGACTTGCACCACCTGTGCATCTCTGTTCATAACGAGTTGTGTGGACATGTTCGGCAGGTGGTCTGTCAAGTACCGCAGTATCTGAAACTTTGCTGCAGCACAGTCGGTTTGGTTGCCACCTTTCACACTGCACGTACAAAGTAGCTCCGGCTTGACTTAAATGAGGTGCTTGCCCGGATGCCCAAAATGCAGTGTGCCATCGCATAAGAAGGACCCCAATCTTTGAAGAACTACATGTATATGTGAATGTATATGTATATGTATATGTATGTATTACATTGAATATGTTTACACATGTACATGTACACACATGCGCCATGTGTGCTGGCTCCGCTAGGGTGAAGTCCAGTTGGCAAGGAGGTTTCGACCAGATCATATCAGTCTATCTATCTGTTATCTGTCCGCCTATGTATCTATGAATCCATCTTTTTCTCAGTCTCTACGCATCTCTGTCTCTATCTATCTTAGCTATCTCTTTCGATGTCTATCTACCTACCTATCTACGTACGGCATCTGTCTGTTTGCCTGTCTGTCTGTCCATTTACATACGTATGTCATACAAGTTGGTATGTATGGTTGTCTGTAGGTTTCCATGCAGTCATACTTGCTCTTATTTGCCTAGCTTGCACCAACTCAGGCTCTACCTGAACGAGCAGCAGGGGGCTCGACGCAAGTGACGCGCATCACATGTTCTGGTATCTACGCCTGAACGAGACTGCGAAGCGAAACCCCTGATTCCTCTCTGCCCCTCCAGGGCCTACCTGTCGCTGTCCGTCGACGGCATGCTCTGGTCGAACTCCCTGCCCGTGTTCTTCATGAGACAGGCAGCACGAGTTGCAATCCTAAGTATGGCCATGTAGCGCAACACGCCATCCCGCACCATGCAGTTGCCGAAAGGGTTTATTCTCGGGCATGAACCCTGAATCTAGGAAGAATGCAGAATCATGTGAATGGCTCCCTTACACCAAGGACCTAACCTTAGGACCTCTGTGGCCTTAAAGGTCCGCTTGGAGATCGCCGGGCCTACTCTGGTGCCCCCTTTCACGCCCATCACACTGAACATCACCGGCACTTTCGAGTCCCTGCAGCAGTACCAGGCCTGGGTGTGTACATGAACAATTAAATAAAATTACAGAAATATATGTATGTATAGTTGTATGGTATGTATGGTAGGTGTGCTATGTATGCTACGTATGCCATGCATGACGAGAGAAATAGCATGGTATGGTGTGGTGCTGTATGCATGGGATTGCATGGCATTGTCTGGTCTTGGTCTGGGCTGGTATGGTATGCTATGCTATGTACCAAGCCCTAAAGCCCACCCGAATGAATTGTGGAAGTCTTGGCAGATCTTGCGCCGCGCGACGCAGATTTGGTGTGACTTTGGGGTGCCTACAGAAGCCTGAGCCACAGAGTCGTTGTTCGCACTTTTGCGGTTTAAGTTAGGGGTGGGGGTAGGGCTCAGTCTGGTGGATGAAGTTCTAGTCAATTGCGTTGCCGTTTTGCATAATGTGGTGGTAATTACATGTGAACCTGTAGGTTGACAGGCCGTAATGACTCTCTTCAAGCATTTCTACGAAGACTGCTACTGTTGAGAGTAGTGCTGTCCTTCTCATATTTACTATCCGTTTGAAAGCATGTTTGAAATGGGTACAGTCGGCAGCAAGTGTAGCAACAAACATTGTGCTTAGGCATCTCCCACTTCTTGCTTCCCAGTACCCTCAGTGCAAGAGTCAAGATTCAGGTACATGTAGTACGACATTCTACGATATTCACAGCCACGCTACTGGCACAACTAATGTTTTTGACTGGGGCAGCCGCAGCTTTGGTGGCACTGACAATGATAAAATAAAGCTGCTGCTTGGGCTGCTTCGTCGCTGTTGTTTTTGTTTTTATGGGCCGTTCTCTGAAGCCTCGCTGAGCTGAGGGCTGAGAGCAGCGGCCTCGATCAGAAACGAACAGCACTAGGCAGACTCATGAGTATTTGCATTCTAAGAACCAGAATGAGAAGATACTACTACAGAAGACTAGCCGAGAGTAGAAAATGCTCATCTTCCAGAGTAGAAAGGTTTGCCGCTCGGTCGGGTGTTTGGGTTGATCAGGGTTGAGTTAGGGCTCAGGGGTGTTGGGACCCAGGTGCCGGCATTGGCGACCGCGACACTGGATCCAAGCGTCCTCCCAGGACTTCTACCAGGTTCAGGGCCTTTCGCATGCGCATGGTTCACACTGGAAGCTTGGGCACTCTCGCCGAAAAGGAACCGTACTTTACCAGCCGCGTGAGAAGTTTATCGTGTTTAGGCTTCGGGTTTTTAGGGAGTTAGGGCTTTGTGGGTGATAGTTTTTCTACGAAGTCACTGCCGGCTCCATTGAGGGTTCCGGTTTCAGAGCTTACACCTGTTGGGGGCCCAAAATGGGGTGCCAGTTAGTGACAAGCTTGAAAGTTCTCAAGATTCATATTCAGACCAGTCTTGCTAGTTGTAGGATCCGTATGCACCCAAAGAGCAACAAAAATCCTAGAAACGTGTCATGGTATTTCCCGTGAAACACTTCGACTTGGCACTGAAACAAGCCCGAGCCAGATTGGTCCTTGAACTGCTTTGGCTTGGCGATAGCTGTAGCCAGCATCGTATCGCGAAAGCGATGGTCAACTTTGGATCAAGACTTTTCAGCGATCCCTGGGCAAAAGGCCGTAAGATATATATACATATATATATATACACATACATATATATATAAAAATATATATATATAAATATATATATATATATATATATTTATTTATTACCACATAGTATACTTTGTTAACACTCTGAGACTATTAGATTAATCTCCTATAACAGATAACCCTTCACCTTAAGCCTCTTTCAGTCCGTTTAGCTGTCTGATGTGGACCTATACTTGTCAAAGAGCGGTTGCGCACATCGCCATGGTGTAGCCGCAACATGCACTCTCATGAAGAAATTGCACAGGCGGTTGCAGAGGTCGATCTGCGCGTGAAGACTGGATGGCTTTCCAAAGAGGAAGCTCACAAGCTAAAGACCTTGTTGAAGATGGGCCAGACGATAGAGCGATCCACGGACAAGGCATCGCAGTTTTGGACTCACAATGCTGACGTCCTGTTAAAGCAATACCTCCTACTCAGAGAGGAGAACACACCTTGGAAGAAGTTCCTGACCGCGATCGGCTACACTTGGCTTCAGAGGCAGCTGAAGGAAGCAGATGCCAGGAAGAACGAGGAGGTTAACACAAGCCTGTTCGTTCACGTTGTGGAGTCAGACTACTTTGAATCCGCTATGGGGCTGGTGATGCTCGCGAATGCCATAATGATCGGCTTCCAAGTTTCCAGCACCGAGGAGGATGAGTCTAGCGCAGAGCTTTATGCGATCCTTGACTTTGTGTTCACAGTGATTTTCGTGGTGGAGCTGGTCTTGCGCTACTGTTGCGAAGGATGGAGATGGTGGTTTCGAGGTTCCAACATCTTCGACGTCGTAGTTGTGTTAGCCACAAACGTGATTCCTGTCTGGATCTTGGTGCCGCTTGGAATTGACCCTGCCTTGATACGGCCCTTTGCGGTCCTGCGTTTATTTCGGCTGGTCAAGCTGATGAAACTCATCAGAAAGTACAGAAGTCTCCGGACACTGTGGAACCTGTTCCAGGGGGTCCTTGGAAGTGGCAAAATACTGCTCTACACGGTCCTGGTGATGGGCACTACACTGTTCATCTGGTCAGTGCTAGCTGTCGTCTTGATAGGCCAGGACCCCAGGACTAAAGACCATCCCGACGTGATCTTATACTTTTCCAACGTCCCTGACGCGGTTTTCACGCTCTTTCAGATCGTGACCTTAGATAGCTGGTCGGCCATCGCCCGACCCATTGGGGCCTTAAACCCCCTTGCAGCCCTCCTGATTGGCATGAATATTGTTATAGTTGAGATTTGCTTGCTGAACCTGGTCACGGCCACCATTGTCAATGCAGCCTTCCAGCGACAGCAAGACGACCATGAGATGGTCGCACAGGAACAGAAGATCAAGAGCGACCGGCTCATCGAAGAGGTCCGGACCCTCTTCATGGAAATGGACAAGAGCGGGACGGGCAGCCTCAACTACGAGGAGTATCTGGACGCCGTGAGTGAGAATCCCCAGATCCAGACCAAGTTTACCACTTTGGAGATCGAAGATGCTGAGGACCCTCAGAGACTCCATACTGTTCCATACTCCAACAAGAGGGCTCATAGATATTTTCTACCGCCATAGCCATAGCATTCAGAATCATCCGCGCGAAGTAAGACTGCATTGCGAAAGGCAGCAGCATGCAAGCGCAACGAGAAGAACACAGCACTGCTGCTTCTCGTCATACAGTGAATCGAATTCTGTCAATAATACTCTTTTGAGTGCCGATGCTGTGATGTTGGTCGTTGCTGCAGCCGGTCCCTACGGCTCCGCCTGCTTCTGCCGCTTTGCTGCATCCGGCGATGCCGGTACCACCTCGACT